CGGCTAATTTTTGTATTTTTAGTAGAGACACGGTTTTGCCATGTTGGCCAGGCTGGTCTCGAACTCCGGACCTCAGGTGATCTGTCCGCCTTGGCCTCCCAAAGTGCTGGGATTACAGGTGTGAGCCACCTCACCCGGCCAAATTATTTAAATAAGCTTGATTCTTTAGAGTAATTTTAGGTTCACAACAAAATTGAGAGGAAGGTACAGAGACTTCTCATACACTGCCTGCCCCACGCATACATGGTCTCCCCTACCAGAGTGCTACATTAGTTACAGCTGATGGACCTGCACTGACACATCATTACATCATTATCACCCACATCTAGAGTTTACCTGAGGGTTAATTCTCAGTGTTGCACATTTTGTGGCTTTGGACAAATTTATGATATTTCCACTATTATAGCATCATACAGAATCATTTCACTGCCCTGCAAATTGTCTGTGCTCCAACAAGCTCCCTTTTCAAAACAGGAAAAGAGGTCAGTTTATTTTGTGATTGTGAGCAAAAAGAGAAAGGACAAAGGGGTCCATCTCCTATTCTCTGCCTTTTGTTCTCAGGTACAGACATTTTTTTTTTCCCTTCAGGAGAGATGTGGCTTATTCTAGATGCAGGGGTAATAGTGATGTCTGGGTTGAGGTCTGTATCCTCTCTTGGGGAAAGCTGGAGGGAATAGAGCTGGTGTAAGGACACCATCCAACTGTGGCAGCCCTCAGTGGCGCCCCCCTTCTAGCTCCTGTGCACCCCGCAGTCCAGCCCTCACTGCTTCCCAAGGCTCTGAGAGCTCACATGCAACTTTTTTTCTCATTGGCTTAATTTCTCTTAAGACCACTTCGCAAAAGCTCCATTGTAATCACTATCTGCTCAACTGCTTTGTCTTACTTACAGGTTTAGTAAATACAAACATTCTTCTGTCTAGGTCTTACTGACCTGTAGAAAGTTAACTGATGAATGGTACATTTTAAGTCAAAACATACTTTCTGAACCCCAAACATAGTAGAGCTTTTGGTACTCTTTCCAAAAAGAGGAAAATCATTACACTATTCTATATAGAAAAATTTCAATATATAATATGCTGAAACAAATTTTACCTTTCAAAAAAATCTCAATACCTATGTTTAGATAAGTACAAGTGAAACTTTAAGAAATTCCAGTATCACTGTTTCTCAAACTTGGATATTGTTCAGATCCTTTGTAAGGGGAAAAGATTCTCACAGATATCTAGAGTTAGCTTATATATTTTTTATAATGTTGCATACATATATGTGTATGTATATATGCAAACACAAAACTAAGGGCTCCTGATTTTTATAGATTTTATGCATCTATAAAACTAAAAAAATAAATTGAATACAAACAAAACTACTAAATGAAGAAATTCATATCTACAATTTTGATTTAATATAAGGAATGATATTTTGCTGAAGCCAATATTCACATGAATATTGTAATACTGTGTGATGACTCAATTCTCCCACTAATCTTTGTTAGTGCAGCGCACCACAATATAACTTGCCTATAACTTGGTGTGACCACATCATTTGTTTTAAAAATCCTTCTCCGTTTTTTTTTCTCACAAGTCTGTAACAATTCACTCAGTACTATTTGCTAATCAGAAATCCAGCAGTGAAACTGCATTCCCAGAATAACTACAAAGGGCTGAGAAATTTATATAGATATTCCACTCCAATAGTAATTCCATACAGGTTAAAATGAGAGACCGTTTCATCTATCATATTGGCAAATCTTTTTTTTTTTTTTAAAAGAACAAATAAATGCCGGTGGGGGTATGTGCGATGGGCACCCTTGAGCACTTCTGGTGAGAATGAAAACTGGCCCGACATTTCTGGAAGGCAGTTTGACCACGGGTATTCACAGACTTAAGAGTTTTCAAAGCCTTTGAATTCCACTTACAGGTTGGTAGCCTAACGAAGGAAATAATTTTAAAATGCGGTCAAAGATTTATGTATAAGGATATTCATGGCAATGTTCTTGTTAGCAGTAAAAAATAGGAACTCCTATATGTCCAAAAATAGTGGAATAATAGAATACATGAAACTATATCATTAATAATTATGTAGCCATGACAAATAATATTTGTGAACAATTTTAGTGATGGTGGATAGTGCTCAAGATGAAAAAAAAGAGGATGGACTATTAACTATATATCCTATAAATATATAGAATACACAACTAAATATGCAGTTCTACTATGTCAAAAATGTAAATATGCAAAGAAAAAGATCCAACAGAAATAAGCCAAAACAATGAGTGCCTTTTTTCTGGGAAGTGAGTAATTTCTGCTTTAAAATATTTCCTGAATTTTCCACGTTTTCGACAATAAGCACAAAATTTCTTTTTATTATTAAGGCAAACAGCCCTGGAAAGGATAGCATTTGACATTATTTACTGCTGTGAACAGAGGTACATAAAAGGGCTGTTACTTTGGAGAGTTCTCACAGTCAGTCTGGACCATCCTAAAATATTCTTTATTATAAGTTGAAATCTGCTTCTCTGCAACATCCATACACAGCTCCTAGACTTGCTTTCTTTCTACAGCTATCCAGAATAAGTCTACGAGTGTTGTAGAGATATTTCAAAGGGTCAGTTTTTTAAAGTAATGGCAAAAACCGCAATTACTTGTGCACCAGCCTAATAGTTACCTTTTCACTGCTCGCCCCTATGACCCTGCTCTCCCCTACTTCTGCCAATTCCTTTTCCTCTGGATACTTTCAAAAGTTCTCTGTCACACAGGCTTTCTGGTCTCACCAGCTTGCTTATCCTTCTGTAGACAGTCTCCAGTTTAATAACTTTTCTAGAAAAATGTGATATTCAGAACCAAAGGCCGGTTTCCAGCCTTCTTAAGCACTGCTATCATCTTGCCACTCCTCTGCCCAAGTTCCTCTTGAGGCTCTTACCAGAAGAGCAGAACGCCCCAGCTTAGCGTGCAATGTCCTCCTGGATCTGGTCTCAGCCTTTCCAGCCTCATATCCCACCACATCCCTAATACACACTACACCAGTGTCTTCAAACTATGGGTTGTTCTGCATCACTGAATACTGAAATGAATTCAGTAACCAGCACTTAAAAAAAGAGAATAGAATAGAATAGAAAATACCAAGTTGCATTTTACATTCTAAGGGCAATTACTGTCTCAACATTATCTATCTATCTATCTATCTATCTATCTATCTATCTATCTATCTATCTATCTATCTTACCTACCTACCTATCATGCACACTCACACATATACGCATACTGTGTGTATTTTTATACTAGGCCATAGCTGAAATGTATTTTTTTCTTTTTTTTAAGTTGGAGTCTCTCTGTTACCCAGGCTGGAGTACAATGGCATAATCTTGGCTCACTGCTACCTCCGCCTCCTGGGTTCAAGCGATTCTCCTGCCTCAGCCTCCCGAGTAGCTGGAACCACAGGTGCATGCCACCACGCCTGGCTAATTTTTGTATTTTTAGTAGAGACAGGGTTTCTCCATGTTGGTCAGGCTGGTCTCAAACTCCTGACGACCTGCCTCGGCCTCCCAAAGTGCTGGGATTGCAGGCATGAGTCACCGTGCCTGACCTGAAATGTATTTCTTACTGTGAGGAATGATTAAAAGAAGGTTGAAAGCCACTGCCCACACCACGGCTACATCAGGCCAGTAACTAGTTCCCAAACTTGCTTCATACTACTGTGATCCCAGCCTTCCCTCAGCTTGGCATTCTCCCTGCTCTCTGCTACTGAAATCCTTCAAGGCCCCGACAAGATACCACATCCTTCCTTCAGTGTTTCAACTTTTCCCCTTGTCTGTGATCTGAAAATGGTGGTTCAATTGTCTTTCTTTATATTACTCAAAACAGCCTACTTTGTATTTTGTTATGTCTGTACACTGAATTCTTAGACAATAAATATCTGGAGGGCAGGGCAGTGTCTTACCCATCTTTGGGTTCTCTGAAGGCCCAGAAGTCTAGTGAACCTGGCTGATGCTCAAAAATGTCTGCCCAACCGAATGTTTTCTGTATCTCCTTCCAAGAGTTTCTTCTGGTGTTCTTCCTCCTATTTCCTTGACCATAGCCCCCAGCAGGCCTAAAATCTGTGTCCTGGGGCTAATGTTACCTACAGTGATGACTCTAGAAACGAGTCTCTTCTGAAAGCTTTCACCTTTCTTCAGGAGCAATAAGAGAAATAAGCATATGTTTTTATTTATTTTTCAGAAGTTTTCTTTATTTGACACTATGTTTCTCCTATATTTTTGGTGTTAAGATGTATTTTGGGGAGCAATACTGACGATATATTAGAAGATAATAGTTGGTTTTTTAGTATGTGTATGCCTGTTGTCCTTATTTGACAAAATAAATTGGCAATTCTGTGTTCATCTTTTTCTTAAAAAAAGCTAAAAAATATTTACTGGTCGCAAACTCCAAAAGGCAGGGAATCAGTTCCCCTTCTGGGCTGGCTGCAAGTAAGTTCACTTTCTTAAAGGAGGAGCTTTCTCCTCTCACCTCAAGGACTGCTATTTATTCGTCCGCGCTACTCTTTCCACGTTTCCATTCTCTTGGTCTTCAAGATGTGAATCACCGGTTTTTTCCGTGGGGGAAGCCAGCATATCTCTGGCCCTTTAAATAGGGGCGTGGTGAAGAGGCGCGGACCGCTCAGGAGGGGGAGCAGTGTGAGGAGAAAAGCGGAAGCGAGGCCAGTAGTGGTAGGTAGTGCGCGTGCGTGAGGCTAAAGCTGGGGTGCGGTCACGTGGGTCAGCGGTCCAGGGCCAGAATGGCTGCAAGCTCAGGTAACGAGTTTCCAGAGAGCGGGCCCGTGGGGAGGAGACAGGATTGAGGGGCCGTATTCAGGGTAGGAGGAAAGCGCGCGACAGGTCTCTGAGCCTCGGCGCCTCCTCCCAGCGCGACAGCGGCGCGACCTCGGGGAGCGGACAGAGCAGCCCCTAACTGGCTAGCCGGACCCGAGCCACGGGCCGGGCGGGGTTGATTCTTGAGTGGAGGGGCGTGTCCTACGTTGGCCCGGAACTGGGTCGGGCAATTTCCACTTACTGGTTCCAAATGAATGTGAAAATTCAAATGGGCTTAAGTAAAAAGGGATTTATTGGCTCCAAACATGGAAGGGGTTGGGGTATCACTAAATCCAGTGATTCCAGTGATGTATTTGTGTGTCTCTTCCTTTCTGCAAAGGACCAGTAACCCCTCAGTTCCCTATCTCCTTTGCGACTATATTTGCAAGCCTCATTCTGTCCTGTTACAGTCCTGCGACAATTAGGCTGAGGGACTGGGGCACCCGCTCCCCCGACTGTGAGTCTAGGCGGCGGGTGTCATGCCCCTCCCCACTCCCGGGCGGAGCAGGTGTGTAGCCCGTCTGTCGGGCCTGGAAAACAGGTGTGGACCCCTTTATCCTCCAGGGACTGATATCAGGGTGCCTGAGCCTGAGGCTTAGATGGGGTATGCACCTCTTAGGATCGGTGCGCACCCTGTGAGGCTGGTTCCAGTTTGTCTCCACGTGCAAGTTGTGCACCAGAATGAGGGCAGCAGGATGAAAGGTGGACCTCTGAAGTTCGAGGCTATTCCTGTGCCTTGGCCTGTTCTTCGTGCGTGGCACCTGGGGAAGGAGGAAAACAGCTACTCAGAGTGTCTGGGTGTACACAATGGAAGTGCTTCACAGGATAGGGTGGGAGGAGGTAGGATCCGTGAGAGGTTCCATGGCCGTGGGTTATCAGGAATAGCTAGCTGGGGAGCCTTCTTTAAATAAACAGACCCCGTCCACTTCTTAAATTCTTGTTAGAACGAATAGGAAGACTTCTGTCCTCTGCACCATCCACCCTCTACCATACTCAATTTTCCCGTACTAAAAAACCCAAAACCCAAGCCAAACAAGCATGGATGTTAGCTTGTGGTGCTAAACCTTATTCCAAATGTCTGCGTTTGGGAGATAATTACATGTTGTCTGTGTATGTCTATGTCTGCCTGTGTGTGTTTGAGGTTTATCTAATATAAATGTGGATGGAGAATCTGCACGTTTGTGTAAGATATGGGTTTGCTCATGGTTAAATTCAAGCACAGAGTAGGTATTGAATCCTCTGGCAATAGCTGGCCTGTTCTGTAGAATATGCAATAAAGATAAATGGAAAAAAAAATTCGTTGAACTGTTGGGCTTTATATGGTCAAAGAGGCATATGTGAGAAAATTCTTTCCAGAGCTCTTACAGAGTAATATGTTGATTTTTTCCTTATATTTAATGTATTTCCTTCGTATCTGGACCATTGTCAGCAGATAGATGTTTTCTGTCTTCCAGAATATTGGGACATGTTGGTGATTCTTAGTTGTATCTCACTCTTCCATTGACATTTCAACCAGTGTGACACAAAATGTCAGTTATGTATGTGAATGAGAAGTAAGATCTTTTGAACTTAATAAAGTATGTTTAACTTTGGATCTATTGATAGCTTATGTAGAGTTTAGATGGTATGTTCTCTTGATCCACAACTTTAGGTGCCATCTGTACATAGTGGTAAAATCAAACTGTTGTATTCTTAACTGAATCTTGAATGAATATTTGACTTATCTTCACGCTGTATGACATTATTAAACGTGTTCTGTGTATTAGCAAGGAACTACAGCTTTGCGTTGGATTTTTCACTGTTATTATGAATTTCTTAGGTTTACTCTAATAGTAATTACACTTTTTTTAGTCAAAGATATTTCTGTTGCAAGTGACAGAAAATTCAAATGGGCTTAAGCTAAAAGGGATTTATTGGCTCCAAACCTGGAAGGGGCTGGGGTATCACTAGATCCAGTGACTCCAGTGATGGAGTACTTGCGTGTCTCTCCCTTTCTGCAAAGGACCAGTAACCCTCAGTTCCCTATTTCCTCTGCAACTGTAATTGCAAGCCTCCTTCTGTCTTGTTACAATCATGGGACAATTAGGGGATACATTCTGAGAAATGCATAGTTAGGCAAATTTTGTCATTGTGCAAGCATCATAGTGTGCTTATACAAACTGAGATGGTATAGCCTACCACACACCCCGAGTATGTGGGATGGCCTATTGCTCCTAGACTGTAAACCAGCACAGCATGTTACTGTACAGAATACTCTAGGTGGTTGTAACACAATGGCCAAGTATTTGTATATCTAAACATAGAAAAGGTACTGTAAAAATACAGTTTAAAAGATTAAAAGGTAAGTGCACCTGTATGGGGCACTTACCATGAAGGGAGTTTGCAGGACTGGAAGTTGCTGTGGGTGAGGCAGTGAGTGAGTGGTGAGTGAATGTGAAGGCCTAGGACATTACTGTACACTACTGTAGACTTTTTGAACACTGTACACTTAGGCTACACTAAATTTATGAAAATTTTTTTTATTTCTCCAATAATAAATTAACCTTAGCTTACTGTAATGTAACTTTTATGTTATAAACTTTTAAAAAAGTTTTTAACTTCTTTGTGATAAAACTTAGCTTAAAATACAAACACATGGTACAATTAGCTGTACAAATATATTTTCTTTATATCTTTATTCTGTTAGCTTTTTTCTATTTTAAAATTTTTTAATCTTTAAAAACTAAGGCACAAACACATTACCCTAGGCCTGCACAGAGTCAGGAAGGTCCCACTGGAATGTCTGCAGAGGCAGTAACACATAGGGAACTGTCTTACGATAACAGTGCCTTCTGGAATACCTCCTGAAGGACCTGCCTAAAACTGTTTTACAGCTAACTTTTTAATTTTTTAATAAGTGGATGAGTACACTCTAATGATAAAAAGTATGGGATAGCAAATACATAAACTGGTACATAGTTTATTGTCAAGTATTATGTACTGTACGTAATTTATGTGCTTAGCTTTTATACTACTGGCAGTGCAGTAGGTTTGTTTACACCAGCATCACCACAGACACATGAGTAATGTATTGCATTACAACAGCTATGACATCACTGGGCTACAGGAATTTTTCAGCTCCATTATGTGTAATCTTAGGGGACCATGGTTGCATATGTGGTCTGTCATTGACTCAAAATGTCTTTTTGGGGCACATGACTGTATATAAGTGCATAAAAGATGTGACTGCAGACAACTCCTGTGTTATGCCATCCAAGGTTAAGCACCCCAGAATAAAGAGAAATTCCAGAAGGACCTTGATTGGCCAGATAGGACACAAGAATGTGATGTGCCTACTGTTCTGCTCCCGTAGCTAGGCAGATAGGGTACTTGATTGGCAGCACCACCAAAATCATATGGTTGGAATGGAGGAGAAGCAGTTGCCCTCCAGGAAAGATGGCAGAGGTGCTGGGGTGTTTTATCTTTATTTTTTCCGTTGCAATTCAGCAAGATGCTTCCAGTTACTTCTTGCTCTTTAAAAAAAAAAAAAAAAAAAAGAATAAATCTCTTGTGACACTACATCCTTCTTGGTACCTAACCAACAGAAATTGAGATGACAGTTAATTGCAAGTTAATAAAGAAGGCCATCATCCACTCAGCCTTTACCTAAGTGGAATCCTATCTTTTGCGCATTTAACTTATAAGAATTTACCTGCATTAGTTACGTAAAGAAGAAAAGGGAATATATTTCAGCCTACACAAGGCCCTTATGCCTTTTAGAAGGAGTTCTTTGGGGTTGAAGTGGGTCTGGAAAGAGTTTCTCATGATAGTGGAGACAATATTATAGAAGCTGGAAGTGATCATTTTTCTCTGTTATTCATTTCACTTATTACCTCATACACATATTGATATAAAACTGATCAATAAAGTTAGAATTTCTACATTATATATTTGTAGACTTAGTTCTTGTTACTGTTTTGTGTATTGTGATAGGGGATTAGATTTTTCTTTTCTAGACTGGAGCTGATTGCGTCTGACAATTCATAGCAGTAACTTAACACTGTATCCAGATTGCGTCTGACAATTCATAGCAGTAACTTAGCACTGTATACAGGAAGGTCTGAGGCACTATTCCTTCCCTTTTCTTTTTAACATTTTAAAATCTGTATGTACTTATGATCACTCTCGTCATTTAGACGTTCACCAACAGAACAGAAAGAGAAACAGAGTTTGGGCTTTTTCATTGTGGCAGTTCTGGCATTGTGAGCTACAATTACCTAAATGTGCCTTCTTGGAAAGAAATTCCAGGGTCAAGTAAAGCAGCCCATCCCAGTATATAGTAACGTTGCTCTAAATAAGGTCTGTATCTAAAGGCCATGAGTAAGGTGAAAATTGAGTACCCTCAAAGTACTCCAAGAGGGAGTCATATCAGAAACTGACAAGTGTTGGGTCTCTCAGGAAGCCCAGTACAGCCAGATCTTGTTTTTCCATGTTGGAACTGCATGGCGTTTGTTATTTTGAGCACAGGTGACATGAATTGCTTGGGTGTGAGGCATGTGAGAACTGAGACATAGAACAGCAGCTGACCGTCTCCTATTCTGTGCTCACTATGAAGCACGAAGTTATTGAGTGGAGGTATGCAGAGTCTCTAGCTCTATGTGAATCACTTCTTTTTCTCTCCTTCCTGTTGCTGAAGGTAATAGATGAAATCCTGTAAATTGAATGGAAGTATGGTACATTTCCACTGAATTCATCTTGGCCTCTAGGCTGAATTAACGTAAAAGAACATAAAACATCCGAGATCGTGGGGTTTGCATCATGTTATAAATGAGCTAAATGATTTAAAAATATCTCTCCTAGATGCAAAGAATGGAACTTGCACAGATGGAGGCGTTTTGGAGTAGTGTAACTAACCATACTTTATATTACATGACCAGACTGCTATTTGAGATTCTGGAAGCCAGTGATGCAGTCTTGCTTGGGTATTTACCCAGGGAGGGAGGGTTGGGTGGATTGATCAGCTACCGTGTCGTATCGGCACAGGGAATAGAATGGTGAACAAGGCAGGTCTGGTCTTTGCTCTCCCACGGAACCTGCATTCCAACTGGGGGCAAGGAATGGTGGTTTAGACAATGAGGAAATGATTACAATGTGATAAGTGTAGTAAAAGAGGAGAACAATGTTATGGGTGCATATTAACAGGGAACATAGTCTAGTTGAGCAGGGCAAAAAAAAGGGTTTTCTAAGGAAGCAAAGTTTTAGCTGATAGTTGATAAATATGACCTGCAGTGGTTGACAAGCTTGACTACATATAAGTAATATTCATTTATAACTTGGCTTACTTATTATGACATAGATTCCTATATGCTGTGAGTCAAATAACATCCTCTGGAGCTTAACAATTACAAGTAATAACACTTATGTATTTAATTTGCAACACAGATGTTGTTCCAGTCTCTAATTCCCATGTTAATCAAACATTTTTTGAATGTCTCCCTAGCTGTGCAAGCCAGTAAGCCCAGTGTTGTG